GGCACAAGAACCAAGAAACCAAAGACCAGAGGACCAGAGGACCAGCGGACCAGCGGACCAAAGGACCAGGGACCGAGGGACCAGCGGACTAGCGAACCAAGGGTCTAGCCAAACCTTTTACAAACCCACTTTGGCCAAACCTTTTAAAAAAACAACCCGGGACCCCAGCATACCCCTAACCATAAACTGTAAACGCGGCCTATAGCTGATCGATGAATCCAAGAAACATGATGCGGCCTCGTCCGGAAGACGGATCCTCTTCTTCCTCCTCAGCCATGTTGATCACGGCCTGCTTCAGTTCCTCATAGTTCCTCATACCAAAGCCAGAGACATTGCTTTTCACAAGCATAAAGAAACAGCCGCTCAAAGTGTGCCAGAGCCTCCCAGGCCGCAACTGCAGGTCGCTCCCTCTCTTAGTTTCGCTTTCGACCGAGGCACACATAGAACTGCTGCCAATCCGTGGGCTCCTAGCAGCAGCATGACTCGAGGCGAACATCTGAGATATGCCCGCAAAGAGACTGGAAAATGAGCCTCCTTCACGACAGATCAGAGTAGATCCCCGACCCGAAGTTACGATTGCACCCTGTCCTGCGCAACCTTCTTCGTGAACCCCATGGCTATGGCTACAGCTGCCTACTGGATCTACACTACTTTGCATCTCGTGTGACTAGGTCTGCTTAAAGCTGTGGTGCATTTGGGATGTGGCCTTTTTTGGGGGGGACGCTTTTTTTCTGCGGCGCCTTCAGGCCAAGAAGCTACGAAGCTCTCTGAGGAGTTCCACGCGGCCCGAGCTGGGTGAAGCTGATACTGATGCCTCTCCCGGTACCGGAAGCCGAGCCTCATCAATGCTATCAGTGACAGGCGGTCGATCCTGCACAGCAAAAGTTGGCAAAGGAGGCATCTAGGCGATTAATCTTCATGGCGCCGACGGGCCTGCAGAATCGCGGCCCAGGCATCCATGGCCGCCTTGGCCACTTCATTCTGCGTTGCGCTGACGAGTGACACCATCTCCTTCCGGGATGCCATGAAATTTTTATGAAATAGTACGATATCATGCCACGTTTCAGTACACATGGTCCACATGGGATTTATCACTCTGTCGCCTTGGTCCTTCCGGGAACCGTTCATGCTTGCAAGAAGCAGGCGCTGTGCATCCCATTCGAGCAAACTTCACACCCGACCGGAACACAACTAGTCTCCGAAAGCCATGTCCTGCAGCAACGGCGTCCACCTGACCAAACGGTCTTGGACTTCACAGCTTTCGGAAGAAGACATGGAGTGTGACAGCTGTGTCATCCCAGGGTGCCTCAGGAAGAAGCTGAGGCCCTCAGACTGCAGCGAAGCGGTAGCCTTCCATTGCAAGAAGGAAGGACCGTTGATTTGGGAAGGCTTCTGGAAGCAGGCTTTTGAAACATTAGTGGCCCGTAGGAGCCCGGCCCAAGCATTGATGGCACAAAGCCTCTCCGAAACGTCTCGGCCTTGTATGCAACTCAGTCGAAGTGCAGCTGAAGACTCAAGCTGAAAGCAGCGGCTAGAGCATTCCAACAGTGCTCTGGAGTTGTACCTGTTGAACATATAGTATTTTCGAAGCCTCACACCCTTGAGCAATGGAACTTCCTCGCCAATGCAGCGGCCACATCGAGCGCGACCAGTCAGGACTGCCACAGCACGCAGCCGCGATGACACACACGTGACTAGGCATGCTGCTGTCGAGCATGCCAGCAATCGACTGTGGAAACGGTGCCTCGCAACTCGGGACCAGATCATGCATTACCAAAACCGCAGTGCGAACTTTTCATCAGCGACAGCTCAGGCGTCAAACCGCCTCGTGACTACTGAGAAGAAGTTTTGCCGATGCAGCGCTTCGTCCTGCCATATGTGAAGCAACACGACAGAAGAGGCTTCGCATCATACTCGGTCGTGCAATGCTGCAACTTTTCGAAACAGGCGACATGTGCGCGTGTGCGCATCGTGTTTATTGCAATTGTTTCGTGTTCTTTGTGCGTTGCTACTCTTGGTATCATGACTAGTTCTTGCCTTTGTTGCGATGACCATCGTTATCGCAACGTTACCACTCTGAGCATCCCCGTGATTGTATCTGCTAAATAGCTATCCCGATAAGTGTTGCCATTTCTGTGACTTTGTCACCCACTTGGCACGCCGATGAAAGCGTTGCCGTTGCTATCATTACTGGTTACATACTGGTATGTATGTACGCCATATATATCTGCACACAGCCAGACAGACAGAAAACACATACATGCACATTTACTTAGGAAGCCGGAGCTTTCCTGCGAAAGTCTCCTTCTGCTCCTAGAGCCATGTCTTCTATCAAAAGTTCCTTGGAGGTTTCAGCTCCGCTACCATGCGAAAGTACGCTGTACCAGCATAGAACACAAACACTACCCTAAAGTAGAGCGTGCACTGCGGCACTGCTCACTCAGCTTCAGAGCAAAGTAACCCTGAAAGTCGCGGAACGCCTCTTTCCAGCGACTGCCCAAAGTGCATCATGATCTTGAACCACGGAAGTGGCATGGGAGAAAGTGGCGAGAACTCTCACTCTATACAGTCTCATAAAACAAATCAAACAAGAAAGAAACAAACAAACAACAACAAGGTACAACAACAGCCTCCAACAGCCTCCGACTCATGGTCAGTGTATCTGGACAATACAGCTCAGCATCTATAACGGGCACAGGAGATGTCATCTGGCCTTTTGAGCCTCATTGTCATTCCATTCGCAGACTCCGTGCACATGCGGAAATGGAACAACAGCAGTTGAGGGTACATTTCGGCGGCCGTGCGGGTATGTGAGGAAGCATCCCCAGCTCATATCAGGGATCGTCAACAGCCTCGCGGTTGGACTGCCACCATTTCAATTTCAGACCAGGCAGTCCACCTCCATATCATGAGAAGCGTCGAAAAGTTGCCTCCCCCCCCACATGTAAACAAACAGAACTACACCTGAAGTTAACCACACGTGGGTGAATACGCTGTCGAGCCTATGTATACATATGTACACATGTATGTATATATATATATGTATGTATATGTATGTATATATATATATATTAATATGTATCTATATATATATATATGTGTGTGTGTGTACGCATACGTACACACATACATACATACATACATACATACACACATACATACATACATACATACATACATTTTTAGCACTCGCACTCGGCAGAGCAGGCGAGGTAATTACATACATACATACATACATACATACATACATACACACACATACATACATACATACATATGCACATATGATGTATTATTGATGCGCGTGTGCGTATCCGGGGGTGTGTGCACGAAGAGCAGCTCCCGGCTTATTGGGAGATGCTCATGACGAGTCAGCCCGATTCAACATTTCGCCCCGTCGTCCTGCGATAAACCCAAGCAGGCGTGTCACGCAGAGTCTCACCGAAGGATCACCTTGCACAGGAGGCCCATGACTGAGAGGAGAATGGAGAGGAGAGGCAAAGCTAGCATTGTGTCAGGACAGGAGGCAATACGGATCTGCTAAATCCTTCGCCAACTTGTCCGGCACATTGGCCCTGGCCAAAAAATCCTTGCGAGACCATTCATGCTGCCGTTTCTGACGAATGCCCGATTTTTGCCCACCCGCAGCAATGCTGAGCCTGCCCGCGCTCGTAGGACCCCAGCCTTATACGAGGGTACTCTCACGGGGAGCGGCTTCTAGTGGGATGTCCCCAGTTGCAGACTACAGCTTCCGGTGCATGGAAAAGCTTTTCCTTGACACGTGCGTGGCTGATCTCTTGACTCCTTGCGTCAAACAACGTGCGTGTCTAAGCACAGTTCAGAACGGACAGTGGGCTAAGGGCGGCCGGCGGGATGAAATCAGGGCCCGCCAAAACCCCACTTTCAGCACAGCTCTTAGAGTTGAGACTGCTAAGCAACATAGCTCAACGATCAATTCTACGACAACTTGCTGTACAATCTGTGCGAACCCTTCACCTCGGCTCTTGCATTATCCTGTAGCAGGTGCAAGTTCTTCGCGAATGAACATCGTCCAACTTCCGACTGGTAATGCGGCAGACTTCACTTTCAGGTAAAGGTCAGAGACCAGAGTCTTTCTTGCTTTTGCCTGGTCTGCTGCATTCATCTTTGCGGCAAGGCACTGCGAATAAAACCAGCGCCGCTGCTCGTCTTCAGTCTTCAATGCGAGGTACTCGTTCACCTCTTGCATGTTGCCGACGTCTGGGCCATCCCATGTGACAACTGTGTCGGCGTAGACGGTAGCCGTACCACACTCACTGTCCAGCTCACTAACGATGGTGGACGCAGGATTGTACTGGGACGGAGGAACTCTCCAGCTCAAGTTGTTACCACCGAGAGCCCCAATGCAAGCCTCGTTGACGATCAATTTCTTGGCAATCTTTTTCAGATATCTCTCCTGCACCAGCTTGCAGCTTTCGAGCTTCAGATTCAGATGGCTCCATGATGCTTCATATTACAATCTACTTTGCTCAACAGGTTTAGGGACCGTATCCTTCTGGACGATCAGGTGCTCGGCACGCTTGGAAAAAACGTACACGCCAGGGGCCAAAACACGGGCCGTTCCGTTCAATTGCTTCACCTTCGCCACCGATTTGGAACAATTACTCAACAAAGGCAAAATCACAGTCAGTCCACTGAACGACGACTGTCATCCAAACGCATCCTGATTCACACTTCTTGGTATGTCTTGCTGCAAGCGAGTTGTGTCCGCGCCTGTTGAGCAGTTTCCTCCCCGATGAAGCTGACGTCTGGCGTGGTCCAGCGCATTGCCGTTTCAATGTGGTGCCTGAACGGTCGGATCCATCAAAGCTTTGTAACACTTGGCCACGTGGCCTAGCACCGTTTCTAAAGTCAGATTGTTCCGTGATCCTGACCTCAGCTGCTTCAGATGACGCATTGCGTTCGGCTCGAGGCACTCCAGAATCCTACCGCCAAGCCGCCATTGACATGACTGACACAACCATCTGTCCGCTGCAAACTTCTATGGATTATTCAACAGAGCTTCAGTTGTCCCTTCCTCTCTCCATGTCTGTCATCCACGACACACGGCAGGAGACGGACCCCCTCAAAAAGCGCGATGGCTGTCGTTGGTGTCATCCCATCCCCAACTATAAGGGCTCGTCGAGGCATCCTGGGTGTCTCCCTTTGCCCTGCCCCCTGCACTCTGTCACTGCGCGTTTGCAGAGTCTCTGTAGTCTGCCGTGTGCCGTGCTCTGAAATCACTGTCTTCTCGAACTAACTGCCGAACCCCGTGTCAAGTTGGTTCCATTTTTCGGCGCATGATCGCCACAACAATCTACAGCGATCTGCACATTGGTGCCAAGAGTGCTCCCGCAAAGCTAAGCAGAACAGAAATTTTGTGTTGGTGATTCTTCCCAGGCGTGCTCACGTCCTTCCTTCCTGTTCCTCATACTGGACTCAACTGCTCGACTTGCACATGTCATCCTTACTTTCCCTTCCGCCTTGCTTCGTTTTTCCTTCATTCTTACCGGCAAGTTCAAGACCCAAGGCCCAAGGCGTTCAACCAGACCCCGTGTGTGACATGCGCTGGAGCTTGTGCTCGGCGCTATGTATGCAACTTCGGGCAAGTCTCTCCGACTTGGTGCGAGTACAAGTCAGATGGATTCCCTGACGACACAATGCCTGTCGGTAATGTCCTGTCCACCTTCCATCGTGGAGCTGTCTCTTCACAAGCGGTCTGCCGGCTTTATCTTGCCAGGCTCGAGCGCTCTCCCCCACTCTCTCTCTCTTCCTCGCCACTAGGCAACAAGGGAACCCCCTCACCCGCACCCTGGCTTATCTGACAAAGGAGTCTCTCAATCCATCTCTCAGGCATGGAGCAATTCAAGCCCCACCGATCTCACTATTTTTCCCTCAGTGTCCAAGGGTTGGCACTCCTGCTCTCCAGGGCGGCCATCACAGTCTCGAGCTTCGCATCCAGGTCTGCCATGCTCTTGCGAGGTACAGCTTTGGTACACCTTAGTTGGCTTTTGTTGGCTTCCTAGCTAGATTCTAGATACTGTGGCGAGATGGCTTTCAGCCGCCCACTCTTGCGGATGCGAAGACGGAGATGTCTGCACACTGGAGCCGGTCTCAGAGGCCTCAATTGGCGAGCGAAACTGCGCACTGCAATGGGCCAAAAAGCCGAATCTTTCAGAGGTGGCCTTGCTGAAGCCTTTGCTGCCTGCCACCTCCCATTCGGTCTCACGAGGCAGGATCCTGTGTGTTGTTACTCACAGTCGCCATCTGCAAAAGTATTGCAACTGGTACTTGCTCTGCCCATTTGGTTTTCAGTCCTTGGCGACCGTCGTGGGCTGGAGAAAGTTGTCGACTTCGCCCGTAGCCGTGAAACCGCAGCAGTTTCGCTTTGCGAGAGCCTTCGCAAGTAGAACTCCTTCAGCCGACTGATGCTACCTCAGTGGAATCCAGGCATCACATGAACGGGCAAAAATCCAACACCTCGCCTAGAACTGCACACCTGCGAAGCTTAGATGCTCTTCCTCTCCAAGTCAAGTTGAACTTCAAGCGATGTGTCGGACTGTGACGGGATGTGGAGCTCAGACATCGAGGCACTGCTGGAGATCGGCGAATTCATGGCCGAATGCTACTTGCAGCACACTTGGGCCGTTCTGCAGCTGGAGGCACAAGCTCGCACCACCCTGATTTCAGAGGCTGCTGTGCCTAGCAGAACTGGGTTCGTGTTCACTTGCACAGCAGCTTTGCACCGGGCGCATCCATAAGTTCCACAGCGTTAAGCTTCAGGAGCAAGTCGTCCGTCAAGAAAGAATGGAGGACCTGTGGGACGGATTCGGTGTGGTTACATGTTCGATCATGTTGTCAAACATCCAGAACTAGAATTGGTGCAGGCGTGGCTGCTGTCATAGACGCAATCGCATCATGTGATGTAGATGCTGTACATACACGAGGTGTGCGAGCAGCCCTGCCAGTCGGCAGGCATGGGCATGCAACATCATGCAACATCAGCAGTAGCAGCAGCAGCAACAGCAGCAGCAGCGTCGCTGCCAGCATGCTGCAGGTAAGAGTCCTGAAGACGACAAGAATAGCAGAAAAGCAGCGGCCTGAAAAAAACAACAAAGCTTCAGTTAGTCAACAGGTTTGAAAAAAGGGCCTGGTCCAGCGCCTTGCGGGATTCCAGCCTTGGGCTCGCGGCTCAGGAACTCTGGCAGATTCCGCTCGCATGGCCTACGATCGCGCAACCATGATGCCTTGGAATCCCAGGTCCTACGTACTTTCAATCCATTGGGGCGAGCACGCAGCAAACGCCTCGTCGGCAACGCGGCCCAGCTCCACAAACAATGCAAGGACGCGAATCCGCTGCACCTCGGCATTGCATCTGACAAGTTGTCTGCCAGGCCCTTGAAATCTTAGGGCCCAGTCATCCGACAGCTCAGGCAGCCGTGACTGGAAGGACTCCTCAGTGGAGATCGCTTACATGGCACATACCTGTGGGCACACTCTTCATGCGGCTGAAGAGCCAGCAGGCTGGAACCTGCAAACCCACCACCGATGACAGCCTCGCTCGGACTTGCCATGATGCTGACACACGCCATCAATGCGTTGATCACAGCTTCGGCCGGTACTTGCCGCCCGGCAGGAAACTTCGCAGCTGCACAAACCTCAGCTGGCCACACATTGACAACGGCTTGCGAAACCCTTCTGGTAGGCCTGCGGCCTCCGCCCCCAACTCAAAACGAGACATACAAGGTCTGGGTGCGCCCGCTGCTCGTGCAGCAGCTTCTGCTACACCAGTATCCTCATCCAGAAGCAACGGCTCACCTGCTTCCAGCGCGTCGGAAGAGTTCGACCCCTGCTGCCTAGCCTGCTGATCCAGCAGGCTTATTGCAACCTTCTGCCGTTTCATTCTTGGTGCGTTTTTTCCACGCAACGCGCAGAGCACACTGTATAGGCGGAGATTCATTCGATCACCGGAGCCAACGTCACGGAGGCTCAGGAATCCCAAGGGTTGGGACCAAGAGCTTAGGCGGTTTATGGAGTAAATATATGCAAGATTACGCAATTTCTCAGGGCCTATAGGACTTCTTTTAACCATGGATTCAAGGTCGGCTCACTGGACCTTATTGCCTAACGGAGACTTTCTGCTTCGGGCACACCGCAAGCTTTGCGGAAGTGAAGCTGGAAGTGACAAGCCCGGCCCAACAAACCCTCGGGGCTTCTCTCGGGTAGGCTGGACCGTTCCACATCTGAAGACTTGAAAACGGCGACTGCTGCTGGGTAACAGCTCAACAGCACGACTAGCGCTGGATAAACTACCCCATGCACCCTGATAACTCAACATTACGAGCTGAAAGTTGCAGCGCCAACAGTTGAAAATCGCCTCTGCCTGCGAGAGAACCGCAACTATTCTGTAATCAGCATCAAAGTAGTATGACAGTTTTATCTCTTTGCTAATGTACATTATGCTGTAATACCACTGTAACTTAACACATTACACCTCAAATGAGGCATTCTTGATGGCTTGACTGGCCACCCTCTGGCAGCCTTCTAGCTGCCCATCAAAGGCTTCAGTCAAAAAGTCTGGCACAGCCTGGCCTTTGGCGAAGTCAGCCGCTGTCCAGTTGCGCGAGTTGCGCGAACCTAGCTTGGCGCCAGCTGCCACCAGGGCGGCAGCAGCTTCATACTGTCCCGACATGACAGCAGCCATCAGCGCAGTCTGACCATTAAGGTGATATGCCCATCTTGTCACGAAGGTTGGCTTGCTGTAACGGTGCTGGATGGACTTTGCGCTGAAAAGGACATGTGCGGCGGCGTTGCTGGACATCGTCGCCTGTACATTCGGATCGGTTCGCAACTCCAGGAGCCTCTGAACCATTTCTGCGCTGCCTCCACGAACTCCTGTAGCAGCCAGAAGGGCTTTTGACAGGTCTTCCTTGCGCAGATCCGGTCCAACTTGAACAACAAGCTCCTCCAGTGCTGCAAGCGAACCGAACATGCCCGCAATGTCAAAGGAGTTCATACCAACCACATTCCTTTTGAAGAGACTGCCACCAGCTTGGCAAATAATTCGGACCGCCTCCGGATCGTTTGCCATAGCTGCCACAGTAACGTCCGGATAGAAGTTGGAATCGAGATTAGCTCTAGCAGAGAGCAAGAAGCGCATCGCTGAGTGGTGCTTGAAAAGGATACAAATCTGTAGCGGCTGAGCTCCGATAGGCAATCCCGACTGCGGCTGGTCCTTGCGGGTCCAGCGGTTGATGTTGGCCTTCTGCTTGAGCAAGCCCTTCAGCACCGCAGTGTTCCCAAGAAGCGCGGCATAGTGCACCGGCGCCCAGCCGGACCTGTCAAATTCATTGACCGTCGCAAAGCCGTTCTGGTAGAGGAACTGATGTGCCATCTGCGTTGCTTTATCTGCTCCTGTGGTCTCATCTGGCTCAAAACCAGGAACTAAGTCCCTTATCGGACTTGCAGGCAAACCTCTCAGGTAAAAGCCCTGCATGTTCAGAAGCACGCGGTAGGATTCGAGATCCTGCGCCTGCAGCAAAAATCTCAGCTTGCGCAGCAGCGCGTTCTGAAGAACCACAGCGAGCTTCTCGCGATCCTCTGCCTTTGTGTATTGGCCTTCACCTGCAGAACCTCCCACTCCACTCAAAATGGACGATACGAGTTCCACCGATGTGCTGCTCTTTATCATGACCCAGGACTGATCCTTTGAGAGCTCTCGCAAGACTCTTTCGACGCGGCACCACCCGCGCTCAGACCAAGTGAATGATGTGAACACTTTTTCAAGTGAAAGGCTCTCGATCACAGGGCAAAGGGCGAAGAAGAATCGGCACCTTGCAACGTACGCTGGGATGCTGCCGATGGCCCGGGACAATTGGCTGCCCTCTTGGCGATCAAAGGTGTTCAATGAGATGCAGCTCTCCAACTGCGGGCACGAGAAGTAATCGTACCAAACGAACAGTGGCGCCTCTTTGAGATCAGCCGTTTGCAGAGGTCTCGTCCTTGGCACATGAACCTCCGTGAATGCATCCACGGGAATATGGTGCAGATTCGAAAGCATGTGCGTCAGGGCATCCTGCAAAACGCGCAGCTGCTTGCTCTCTGGGTCCGGGTGCTTACTGCCAACCCATTGATGCGAGACAAAGATGGCATTGCCCATGGACGCGTCAAACTCCACTAACACGCCGGCTGCTTTGAGGTCTTCGTGTGTCTCCACTTCTGTCATCTGGAGCAAAACCTCTGCAGGCACGGTGTACATGGGAAAGAGGAAGGGTGCAAACTCGACATCCACAGCTCCTTCGTCCGTTCGGTCCCTCAAGGATCTGGCAAATTTCGCCAATGCACTTTCAGGTCTTCCCGAGCGCCCGCAAGCCATGGCTTTGGAACTTAAGAGAATTTAGGCCGGATTGTTGTTTGATGTCGTATTGCTGTTGATTCAGGGTCTTGGCATAGTGGTGCAGGGTTTTCGTTCAGGTTTTGCGGCAAGGTGAGGAAGTGGACGATGTACAGCTCGTCGCAAAATTATGTCCGGGGAAAAGCATCACACAAGTATCAAACCCGGCCACGACAGCCACCAGTTGCAAAGCAGCTGAGGCGACGGCACAGATTCAGCATATTTGCCTCCAGCAGTCTTTCCAGCGTTGCCTGCCGAGGCCCATGACTGCATTGGGTGCAACCAAAGCCCTCCGCGAACCTGAATGCGTGATGTACTGAGGCAACGGCTTCCCCGTGAGTGGCAAGCCGACACACCAACTTCGCCACCATGGAGCGTAACTGAATTGACTATGATGTGTTAATGATCGTGCAGCTATGCACACGCAAACGGCCCATTGTCAACTGAGTCTGCAGCACGAGGATCTGCCGCAGTTGCTCCCTCGGCTCACATTCCGGCAGTGTTGGAAGGTTGATCTTACCGCCACCGGTCATCCCGAGAGCTGTCCCAAAAATCAAACCAAAGCATGTCACGAGCAGCCTGACAGCATGCGTCGAATCCAAATATGCTGAGCACATAATAATGACAGACGCAAGTCTCCGACCTGTTGCAAGAAGGCGTTGACGTCCGCTTCGAGAAACATGGGTCGGACCTGATCGCAACATGACATAAATTTTCAAATCCGAATGTACCTCACGATACCGCCTCGTCAAATTCGGTAAGGCCTTCCAAAGCCAGTACAAGGGGCCTTCGGCCGCTGATTCAACATATTGTTGCGCCGCGAAGCCGCAGGATCCGAGAGTGGCACTCCACATCATCTGACGTGGCCGATGCCAAGGCCTGCCAAGAAGTCTGCAAGTTTTTCTTGTCACCCACCTTGCGAGTAGTCATAGTTACTGCGAAACAAGTTGCCGAGCCTCGCAAATTTGTCGCACAGAGAAGCTGTCCAACAGGAGCCGTGCAGCCTGCCCCGACGCAGTGGCACAAATGCACTTGACAGTATTATCACATTATGTATCAGTATTCCAAACATTTCCTGTTGTCGTAATGACTCTACATACGCTCTTTTCTGGTATGGCTGGCTTAATGAATGCTCAAACGCTTTCGCACTACTGTGGCGTGCTGCACAAGTGGCAGCATCAACTCATCATGACATGCATGGAACTTTTTTTTTCCCGGCGCACCTTTTTGCGACTGGTCCGCCTGTGCGTCGGCAGAGCTAGCTGCCAGCGACCAGCGACAGGACTCCTACGGCGGCTCCGCCCGGAGCTCTCCTAGCGGCAGCTCGGCGCCGTCGCTGGCGTCGCAAGGCCGAATCGGCAGCCCCAGCAGGCTCTGCGCGTGCGCGCGC